TAATAGCGTTGTATTTGCTTGATTGTCCAAATTATTAGACCTATCAACCTGAGAACTAGGAACACAGGACCAAGTCTACACCAACTAATTAGTTTTAGGTTATTAATGAGGTTCACTCTTTCCTTTATGCATTGTAAGTAGAGAACTTTGATCAAATGGTTTTCAGATTCTGTAGTTGAACTATTTTGAATTTTTTTTATTTTTGTATCTTCATAATCATATCTAACGAGTTGCTGAAAAGGGAAGAATTATGCTTTAAATTGATTTTTAATTGGTTTGAACAACTTAGTTGTAGATGTAGTTGTTTGTTGTTTTGGTCAATCTACAACTTTGGAAAAGTTAATACAGCTGGAACTAATTAACAACATTGCTTCAACAACATTGGGTTGAAAGGTTTAGAAAGGTGATCTCACTTATATATTCTGATTAGGCAACAAAATATGACCATATCATTTATTGCAGTATTCACCTCATTATTAGGCAGCAAAGTATCAGACTGCTTGATAATTGATCCTTCATCGGTTACCCAAGTCTCAAGATAGCTAAAATTAAGTCATATGATATCTATACTTGATAATTGATCCCATGTATGTATTTGCAATGGATTGGCAGGTTCCCCTGTTTCGTGATGGGTTTATGTCAGATCATGGAGTAGAGTGTGTAACTTGCACTGACAGTGCAATCAGCGACATAGCGACCTCTCTTGAATTCAGTCAACCAGACCATTGCCTCCGAACCTTTCAATTCCTTCTTCTCTTTGGCTCTTTTACGCCATGAAAATTGTCGTCGGGGTGACCATAGCAGCTTCTCGGCAAAGACTCTCAATTCCAACTCTTTGCATCTTACACATGAAGAACAATGGATTTGGTAGGAGTCACAGTAAAGGAAGTTGCATGATTATAGCTGGTGAGGTGAATGAGGATGAATGCTGGATGTGTTCGGTGAAGCCTCCCAATTCCAGGTGATAAACAAAAAACCTCAATCCCTCCACAAAATTTAGATTTCTATAGGTTCAACGTTTCTGTAATGTGTAATTGAGATGGAATTCCATTTTTTTATTTGATGGTTGGACTATGATTTAAATGATCTATGATATTTTCCCACTTGAAATTTAGTCTTGCTTTGCTTGAGTATCTTTTGTTTATTAGATGATTGGTTGCTGCTTCGCTTTGAAACATGAAAGAGAACTTAAACTATGGTGCCTCTTAAATTACAAGTGTTTGGTGTCGTTCTTCAACTTTCACCCTTTCATCGATGGAAGTTTGCTTAAGATGAGGTGCAGTGGCACTGATTAGTTTGTTGAAGGAAGAAATGACAATAAATGGATGATCATGGGCTCTGTAAGCTTTTCTTTTGACAAAATTGATATGTTATTAGTCTCCTATGCTTCTTTACAAGTAGGGTTCATTGAAGCTAGAGAAATCCAATTTGTATGGCTAATTAGTTGAATGTTGTTGTTTAGATGTGGTATCATATGGTTTTGAATTCAGACTATTATTGGAAGAGGCTATAACTTAAATTGACTCCATTTTTACATAGGGCGGTATTTAAATTATTCAGTTGCGGAACTGAGTAAGAGCTAGAACAATTGCAGTTTAGGAACTAGGACTAGATAAAATTTGTTCGTTTTGAGAATCCATATTAGTGATTTCCTGATATAGGACCGTTACTCCATGCGTGTTTCCAAACGTTTTCACTGCAAAGTTGTAACATTAATGCTCCAAAACTGACGATTTGAATTTCTAGATCACCTAACAGCCAAGTCCTTAAAAGTTTTGGCTGATACTTAAAAGCTTCTAAGTCTTTTTCTCAAGTTGTTTGTATATATAAAATACATAACATGTTTTTTGGTCTGATCATTCTCGAGGCGGTTAACTTCTATGTTAATGCATTTCTAGATTTTTGTAAGTAAGTCCTTATGAACGTTGAAATTATAAGTAAGTGTTATATTATCTCTCTTTCAAAGGTAAAAAATTTATTTATCTACTGATGATGAAAAAACATATGAGATAGAATGCAAAGTGGAATAACTTTACATTCTAAATTACCCTTTCCATGATGGGTTTTGAAGTCAGTTTCTTTTCCTACTGGTTTCTCTTCCTACAATGTATTTTTCATATCATCGTCCCTACCACCAAAAGGAAATTCAGTCAGGAAAACAGTATGGAGAAAACAGATTGAAGGCGTGATTGTGATCACTCTCCTTAGAGTGTTTATTTGCCCCCACTACGTTGTTGCTGGCAATGCAGTCAAAATCGGGATTTTGATCGTAAAATCGTAAGATTTTAGGATTTTACTTAGGGATTCTGATCCTGATTTTACTATAAAATCGGTAGACCTTAAAATCTTTCAAAATCGGGATTAAAATTGTTAAAATCGTAAAATCGTACAAAAATCGAGATTTTGATCATATGTGAACAAAATAGAGAGGTTGAGCCAATTCAAAAGAAGCAGAACTGTTTCGGTGGAAAGGGCAATGACGGGGATCTTCTCATATATTTTTCCTATCAAAAGAACATTTGAAAAGAAGAAAAAAACTAATTAGGGTTCAGTCAACCCCTTTCCCTTCTCCTTGTTTAACTCATCGGTAAAACAATTGTCAGAATATTGTAAGCGCATAAGAATTAACATCATTATTAACAAATTATTTGATTAATGAATATATTTGTACCAAACCAATGACATTAATTATTTGATTGGATTTTAGTTATTCTTAGTTTTAAATCATGCTTAATAGACGATGTCGGAATACTAATTTGAGTTAAACTACCTAGACACAATATGAAAAACAAGAGTCAAACCCCATGAGCTCTATCATTTCCTCACAAATTATTTTGAGTTACGCATTAAATAACAATTAAAACGATGATTTTGGAACATTGATCTTGAAAATTATCACTTTAAATGTTATAAGGCTTTGTGTTATTAATTATTTACCTTATAAATATTATTATATGTTTATTTCTATATGGTACTTAAAATCCTACGATTCTACAATTTGATTTTACGATTCCGATTTTACCCCAGTTTTCGATTTTAGGTAAAATCCCGATTTTAACTGCTTGGTTGCTGGTAGGATTTTGGCAAACCACCCCCAAGAGTCCCTCCAATCAAAGTCAGAAAGCAGCACCTTTGGTGACTTCTGTGTTTGTGTTTTTGGAGAAGGAAAAACGAGGAGAAAAAGATGAACGTTGTGACTCAAACTTCTGGCCAACGTCTCTTATAAGATTTGAGAAAACGGCAGTTCCCTTCTCAAAGGTTACGTCGTTTCACAAAACTCAAATTCAATTAATTAAATAGCCAAAAATTAATTTCCGAAGTGCGTAGTGCGATTTAATATGTCAAATTAAATAGCCCACACTTTTTCCAAAAGCTCACTAACCACTTTATCCAATAACTAAAGTGGAAAGCAAACTTTAAAACAACTTGCACTAGGGGTGGGATACTATGCTAACCCCTAAAGGGGTAGTGATTTTCAACACCCCCTTTATGATTGGCCAATTTTATTTTCAATCATTGGCAAGTATTAATTAAACTGGTTTTTTATTTTTTTTAATCTTGTAATTTGGGGTCTCTCACCCACATTGGAAAGGGAAAGAATATGGGGAATCAGAAAAAAGCTCCCCCCCAAATGTGCAATTAATTGCCTTTTTTTCTTCCTTTCGTCTCCTTCTCTCTCCATTTGGGCCCTCTTTCCATTTTGATTTCATTTTAACCAGAACCCTCCTCTACTCTGAAAAGACCAAAACCCTCCAGCGCCTTCCCCCACCACCATCCTCCTATCTCCAGCTGCCGCCATCCTGGGATCGCCTCTGACCTACCTTGTGGATTGCTCGCACCAGTGGAGTGGTACGTGTACCAGTGGAGTGGTACGTGTACCAGTGGAGTGGTATTTGTATCATTGAAGTGGTACTGCATTGTTGCTCCGTTATTGTTTATCATTGTTATGAAAAATATCATTGCACTGGTATTGTTCTCACTCTAACCTATCTTGTGGATTGCTCGCACCAGTGGAGTGGTACGTGTACCAGTGGAGTGGTACGTGTACCAGTGGAGTGGTACGTGTAATTAATGTACCAGTGAGAGAAATTAATTATGTAACTAATGGGGGTGATTTCGTTTTTTCCCAGATTCTTTCTCTTTTCCAATGTGGTGAGAGACCCCAAATTACAAGATTAAAAAAAAATAAAAAAACCAGTTTAATTAATACTTGCCAATGATTGGAAATAAAATTGGCCAATCATAAAGGGGGTGTCAAAAATCACTACCCCTTTAGGGGTAGTCAAGCTAACCGATCCCCTTGCACTATCATACTAATTCTACTACGCTATGGATAACGCTTTGTAAATCATCCAAATCTCCAACATAGAACTCCGCCGCGTAGCGTGGGCTAAATCGATAGTATATATATATATATATATATATATAGAATACTTCTAAGGCACTGTACCTGCTTTGGTAGACAATAAAAAACAGATTGCAGATTTGACAACGTCAAGGTAAGCCAAGTGACGACAGTTAAATAGCTGTTCCAACATTGCATTTCCCCCCAACGTAAAACAGGATTCATTTTAGTTACACGAAGACACACGAGAAAGGAGCAGCTGTAAGCCTGTAACGCGTTCTTCAAAGGAGCTGGAGCGGGCCGGTTTGGTAAGGCCCAAAAATATCCTTCCATTTGTAAGGTTTCACGTCAATTTATTTATTAATATTATTATCCCTCCTAAAGAAAAAGAAAAAAAAAATCCACCCCCATTGCCACTCCAGTCATCACTCCGTCTTTTAAGTTTTAACGTTTGAACAATTCCTCTCCCACCGTCCCAAGCCGCCGCCGTCCCTACGCTGCTCCCCCGACCCCCACCAAATGCTCCGTGACAAACGGGACGGAAATACCAACGGTCACGGGATCCGAAACGGCGACTGACGGCAGTCCTTCTCTCTCTCTCTCTCTCCATTTTTCTCCCAACAAAACCCTCCGCGAAAAAAGAAACTGGACCAGACCAGAGACCGACTCGGGAAGAAATTAATCAGTTTTTTTAGTCCCCAGCAGCCGGAAAATTCTTCTTTACAAAAACTAAACGGCCGGAGTTTTCCCTCCTAACAAAAATAAAAAGAGATGTTGCTCGATTGCAAATGCTTCGGCGGCGGCGGCGACACCGTGGGAGATGAGCTTCTGTGGCATATTGACCTGAAGCGGCATGCCTCAGGGGATTACTCTTTCGCCATGGTTCAAGCCAACTCCAAGCTGGAAGACCAGGGCCAGGTTTTCACTTCTCCTTCCGCGACTTACCTCGGCGTCTACGACGGCCACGGCGGCCCTCAAGCTTCCCGTTTCGTTTCCCGCCGTCTCTTTTCTTTCATCCACGGTTAGTTAAATGGAAATTAGATTGTATGTAGAATTGAAGGGTATCGTCCCCAGCAATTTCGGCAATTGAATTGAACCTTTTCTTTACCCTAAAATTCAGAATTCGCGACGGAACAAGGCGGGCTATCGGCGGAAGTGATAAGGAAGGCGTTTTCCGCGACGGAGGAGGAATTCCTGCAGATAGTGAAGCGATCATGGATGGCGCAACCGGAGATTGCCTCCGCGGGGTCTTGTTGTCTCCTCGGAATAGTTTCGGATGATTTGTTGTACGTGGCGAATTTGGGTGATTCGAGGGCGGTTTTGGGGAGGAGGGTTTCGGTTGCAGGGGAGAAGGGAAATGGGAGGGTGGTGGCTGAACGATTGACGACTGATCATAATGTTGGGGTTGAGGAGGTCAGGAAAGAGGTTGAAGCTCGTCATCCTGATGATGCCAAGATCGTCATCCATGCCCGTGGAGTTTGGCGGATTAAGGGCATAATTCAGGTAATAGAAAACAAAAACAAAAAATTTTCCTGCCCTGTCTAATTTCTGTTTGAACAACCGTATGCAACGTGAATTCACCAAAGGGATGTAGTTCTTCTGCAAAAAAAATGGTCTATGGTTCTTTATGGTACATGTGGGTTGTTCATTTGATTTTCCATCCCATTTACTGTCCAGCCGATTAGAATCTTCAAATCTAGCCTTTAATTGTAGCTAAAGAGTCAATGGGCTGTTTCATAGATGGGAAAGTAAGTGTCTTGATTATGGTAGCTTCAATGGTTGTGGGCTTTAGCTGGTTATGTACTTAGCGTTGGCTTAATTCTGTTGTTCTCGTGTACTGAATGGGTTAATAATGTCTTTAATGAGGTTTATAACTCTGTTGTAGTTGCATAACTATGTTTCTACAATGGTAATTTACTGAATCCCAGGTTTCAAGATCGATAGGAGATGTTTATCTGAAGAAACCAGAGATGAGCAGAGATCCTCTCTTCCAACAATTTGGGACTCCAGTGCCCTTGAAGAGGGCAGTTATGACTGCAGAACCATCTGTAACAGTCCGTAAGCTAAACCCGGAGGACATGTTTTTAATACTTGCTACGGATGGTCTTTGGGAGCAACTGACTGATGAAGCAGCTGTAGATATGGTACTGAAGAATCCCAGAGCTGTAAGGATCCCGACCTCCAAGCCATGTTATTAACTAACTTCATCCTTCTCTGTGGAAACTTTATTTAATTTTTCAGGCATGTCATGTACTGCTGCTAGCTTCCATTACCCACTATCTTAACAATGTGATTCGTAGCACGAAATTGACATGATTGTCCTCCTTGTTTACACAGGGAATAGCAAGGAGATTGGTGAGGGCTGCACTGCAGGAGGCTGCAAAGAAGAGAGAAATGATCTACAAAGACATAACGAAGATTGAGAAGGGGGTGAGACGGTATTTCCACGATGACATTACAGTGATTGTGATGTTTCTAGATCATCCTTCAGGCAGGTTAAGGGCAAAAGCTAGCCCGGTGGATTGTGTAAGCTCTCCAGCCGATATATACTCTTCTTCTAATGGAAGCAACAAAGATCACTCATAGCTTAGTTATAGCTTCTGTGTTGTGTATAATTGTTACACCTTTTTAAAGAGTTAGAAACGCGCGCGCGCGCAGAAAGGAGAACAAGATATTTCGTTTCTTGCTGTATAGCAATACTGTAAGGATCAGAGTAAAGTATGGCATATAGAGATGGGTTTTTCTGTACAGAAATCGTGGCATGGACATAGCAAATATATGTATCGAAGGGCGCAGCTAGGGTTCAAATCCTCGTGCTTGTAGTTTTATGATATATATTAAATTGATATTTTGTTATAGAATTTACGAGATATTGAATTGATTTGTTAATAAGGAAATATGCTGATTTTGTCTCCAACAGTCTGAGAAACCGATGCAATCAGATTAGGGCGATATAGTTTGACAAAAAAGTACAAAACAATGAAAAGGAGAGATTGTTGTCCCAAATGGGGATAGCGGTTATCAGCTCGTTACTTGAATCTTGTCCCAAAAGACAAGTTTCTTTTGTTGATTTTCTGGTCTTACTGCTAGTCGTGCCGACCGCCAAATGTCAATACTTGATGAAGACAAAACGTGGAACTTCAAGGAAGACTTGGTTTGGTCATTGGTGGTTGTGGAGAGATTACGTTAAGCGATCCATAATGACCGGCAAGTTATATACCGTTGGTTATGCACAAACACAGGGTTAAGATCATGTGGGTTCCTTAGTCATGTGACTAAGCCACTCCTAGCCGTTGGATCCTTATTAATCAATCTAACGGTGTAAATTAGGGGTGGAGTTTCGGTTATTTCGGTTATAACCGGTAATCGGTCGGTCGGTTATCGGTTAACCGAACAACCAGCGACCCCTACCAAATAGTCGAACACCGACCGAAATAGGGATTTAGGCTTCGGTTGTCTCAATTTTTGGTTAACCGAACCACCTCCAAGATCAAAATCATATCGTCCAGCCTCCGAAAATTGACTGAATCTCGGTTATTGGTTAGTGGATAACAGGCCGATTATCGGTTTAACCAACCGGTTAACCGGTAACCAAAACTCTACCCCTAGTGTAAATAAGGTAAGGGGTAATTAAATAATGGGAGGAAAAATTTTGAGATTACGAAAAAATTCATTTATGTTTTTTCCCCCCTCCAACCGTCCTCTTCTGCACTGCCAGCATAGACCACGAGAAAGAGAGAAGAGGGAGAGAACGACAGTGAGATGGAAGAGAGGGGGCGGTAGCGATGGCGACGACGACGATGGAGAGAGAGAAAGGAGACCTCAACGGCGGCTACGACGATGAAGAGAGGGAAAGGAAATCGCGACGGAGGCAGCAGCGTTAGAGCGAGAAAGCAGATCTGGCCCTGTCGTCGAGAAAATAGAGGAGAGAGACGATGGTGGAGGAGAGAGAGACCATGGCGGAGAGAGACCGTCGACAACGGTGGAGGAGAGAGAGGCGGTGCTACGATGGAGAGAGAGAGGTGGCGACGACAATAGAGAGAGTCGGCAGTGGCATCAGTGGAGACTAGAGAGAGAGTCGACGGCGGTGACAACGGTGGAGAGAGAGGGAAGAACGATGATTTGTAATGCAAGTGTTGTCGGTTTGTATTGTTAGTATTTTTGTACATAATGCCAGTGTGATTTGTATGTTTTGTAATATTAATTTGTATACTTTATATGTATTGATTTGTGATGCAAGTCATGTTGTTCTGTATAGTAAGTACTCATACTTTGTACTCTTAGTATGCTTTGGGTACTTTGTCACTATCGTTTCATTACAAAGTATGATGTTTACAAATCAACCATATAAATATTATAAAGTAGATTTATAATCATTACAAACTATAATGCAAACCATTACAAACCAGACGAACAAACATTAGAAATTATAATTTATACTGATAAACAACATAAATTATACATAAAAGATTATAAAAGTTATACAAATCTTGTAATAAACGTATACAAATATTACAAACTATACAAATATTGCAAAACACCAATACATACAATACAAACCAATGAAACCTATATTACAAAACTATAAATACAAAGTGTACTAACTATAACAGTAATTATACGAACTAGACATACAAACACTACAAAATACAATGTATACAAAATTGTCATAGAAACATTACAAACTTGACAGACAAAAATAACAAACTAGAAGGACAATACAAATTTATAAACATTACAAAAAAAATTTACAAACAATACAAATTAGGTTGCCAAACATTACAAAGTCATTGTCGCTGACGAAAAATTTGCCGAAGTTGTCTCTCTCTCTCTCTCCTCCACCATTTATAGCCACGGGATTTAAATGAGAATGGGTGGCTGAGATTGACTTAGTCATGTGACTAAGGCACCCTCTTATTCACTTGATCTTAGCCCACGAACACATTAAATTGGATCTCTTGCTTTTTAGTTGACCATAACTAAGAATTGGATAAAAATATCTCTTATTTTATTTACTCTTTTAATCGGAAAGTTATGCATAATCAAGAATCTAATCCATTTGTTTTGAGCGGGAACAGATCTAAAGATGAAAATATTTTTTAATCTTTCTTTTTTAATTGGCTTATATTTTTTATTTGAATTTCAATTTCAATTTTTTTTCATTTATGACTTATGTAATGGATTCTTTGTGATCTATAAAACTATATCTATTTTCAATCTATTTTGAGAAAAATAATTTGTACCACGCATTACCACATGTTACCACCATGATATTATCTCATACCAATCTGTACCACCTTAATTTTCACTTAAATTTTGAAATTTGTTGCATAAGGAACGAGTTCATCGTGATCTGTTATAGTATATGACCAAATATACCACCATGGTATAGGGTGGTAACTAGTGGCAGATGGTGACGAAAGATGGTAAATATTGATTAGGTAATTATTACTATCATGTATACAATCATTATACACTATGGTATAAACTTACTAGCTTTTACCCGACCCGTTGGTCAGATGAAATTTGTTTTATTTTATGTTGATCAATTTTTTCATACTTTTAAATAATTTGAGATTTTGTAAAATAGTTAATTAATCATTTCAAAGTAATCTTTATGGTATTTGTTGATTATGATATTGGCCAGTTAGTTGCTAACCGGAAGAGAAGGCAAACGAAGAATTGAATCCCATTTTGTTTGGTTGCTAGCGAGTGAGGGAATCTCAGATGGGCTTATGACCTCGAAGTTTCGTCTTGTTCTAATTAAAATGTAAGCAACTTCGTTCCTTCGCCCTTCTCCCATCGCCCTTCGGGCTCACATATTCTAAACCTTCGGTCGAACATATGATAAACCTTCGGTCAGTATAATAATAGCTACTTGGTTTATCCCGCTTAACGCTATCCTAGCAAGGACGCTCTACTTATCATATTCATATTTTTTTATCAAGTCGTCCTTGTGTACTTATGTACTACCAAGCATTACCACCATGGTATAGACTACTAATATATGTCACAATATTTTTGTTCACAAATATATTAAAATGGAAGTTATTTTGAAGAACACAATTAATCTGATTTTTCTATGCAAACTTATTTGAATTACGACTAAAATGAAATATATATAGCCCTTTAAATTAAATTGATAAAAAAGTTAGATGTCTACTATAAATGGTTGATGGGGTTATTAATGGTTATACATATGTAAGTTATTGATAGATTTCGGACCCACCATGATCGAGAGGGAGGAGCGAGCATTTAAGGAGACCAAAAAATCTAAAATTTTAGGACGGGAGAAATGGCATAGCTAGAAGTTTATGTAAGGGAGTTCTGATGTAAAAAAACAAACTTTTATTCATCTTTTACAAAGAGCCACGACATGTTTTTCTACTCCAAACTCATCTTTTACAATGAGCCACAAGCCCACAACATGTTTTTCTACTCCAAATGTATTTATACTACATTTATCTCTAAACTATCCAGGATGTTACTCTCAATGTACTCTCAATGTGTTCTTTTGGTAGTCCATTGTGAAAAATGCTCTTTAACACTTGCAATGGAGATTAGTAGCAACGATGCCAATTTCAAAAGTTGATACTCTAATGAAAACACATATTGATTCTTTGACACAACTATTTTCATAGAAATATCAACAATCCCCTTTCATCTCTCAATTATTTTCATATCAAAGATATACATATCAAGTTGATAAGATTAAGATGTAAGATATCATCTTTGAAGAAATCATTAGCAATCTTTAACATATTTTGTTATGGGGGAATAAACCATACGATGGTTTTCGTTCTTGGTTCATCTAAAGCTTACAAGTATGAATATTAGAAGCTATTTTGAGATCACATAGTTAGGTGTGATACGTTGGTAAGTTGTTGCTGATGAACGGGAGCGTTGTGTTCATTCCAACTCCAAACATTTGAAGAATCCTCATTTTTCGGATTCTATTCAGGACACAAGCTGGCATCAAAGGACTCTTTGAGTCAAAACAGAAACCGACCCGAATAACCCATTCATTTAACACGACCCGCAACCGACCGCAATTCGAGTTGACTAAAAGTCAATGACCTGTAATCTGCTCGACCCGCAACTCGATTAAACTCGAACCCGACTGACCCACAACCCGATTGAACCCGCAACCCGACTAACCCGCAACCCAATTGATCTGAACCCGATTAACCCAAACTCGTCCAATTGACCCGACTAATAACTATATTATATAATATACATGGGTCGTTTGGATAGGTTAATTTTCAGTGTGGCATTTGTAAGGTCAAATAACTCACTTTTTGTACATGTAGTATTAGTGTGTTATTTGAAGGAATTATGAGTTAAATTATCTTATTTGGATGAAAAAAATAATTAGATTTTTCATATGGTATTTGGTGACATAAAAGAGCAAATACCATAATAATCTTCATTAACAATCTATAATCCTTTCCGACAACGCAATATTAACACAAAATTAACACAGTTGAAACCATGCATGGATCATAATAAAAAATCATATCGACTTGCAAAACTAATGGTGATGCCCAGTACCATGGCTCGAATTCAAAACAAAATTTTACTAATTGAACTAGAGCTAGGCGCCTCAAGTTTAAAAAAATCAAAACCCGACAATGACTACAGAATTGAGCCATCATTGGAACTAATAAAGCCCAAACCTCGTGGCCCACTTTTGTCGATCATTAGTCGTACCACTATTATAAATTCAAGCGAAGAATGAGTTTTAGCTTTCCTGTCGATGTGGTAGTTTCAAAAATAAAACTCAACTTCATCTCTTGATTCTTGCGGCTCAGCAGGCGCATGTGATAATAGACATACTCAAGGTCTAAAATAACTTG